ACCTCCCCAGCTCTATCTTGCCTTCCCCCATCCAAGCAGGAACAGCAGATTTTCCCACCACGTGGACAGGTGTCAGGACCATTGGCATCTCAGAGCGTTCAGTGATTCTACTGCATTTCTCTAGTCTGTTGGCTGTTTGTTCATTGTCTGCCTCCCTGCCAGGCATCAGTTCCAGGCTCAGCTCTGTCACCAACCTCATGTAAGCCACCTGCCCCTTTCTGGGCCTCAGTTTCTCCACCTGCAGAATGGGGCTGTGGTGAGGGTGAGGGAGACCAGTGCGCTTGATCCTTCAGATTCACGTGGACGCTAATGCAGTTCCCAGGCACCCCTTGCCCCCAGACTCATGCTTGGTAGGCGGGGGGTTGGGGATTTGCACTTTAGTAGTCCAAGCTGGAGATAGCTGAGTATTTGGTGATGCCTTGTTACCACCCAGAGTTTCATACATATAAACATGTATATAAACATACATATAAACATGTATGTCTCAATGCCAACAACATCCGCAGAGACAAAGTCACACACACAGACACGGCCATGTGGAGGAAGGTTCCACCGCCCCATATTCCACTAACTCCCTGGCAGGCTGCACGCCCTCTGACTCAGTCTCCCTACCTGTGCGGTGAGGTGGCTGGCCCAGATACCATCTGCATTCACAGACATTGTTGTACACCCGTACACACGTGCAGACACACAGGCAACGTGAATACAGATATGAAGACCTGGGCAGACACGCATGCCCTCCAGGATGGCCCCACGCGCCCACAGCTGTATGGCTGCGGAGACGCTCACCTCGGAACAGAGGGTCACAGACGCTCACCTCGGAACAGAGGGTCACAGATGCACCTGGAGACACATGCAGCCAACACACAGCTGGACACACACACAGACATGCAGACACTCATCCCCAAGACAAACGCGGCCACACACAAACACACATATGGGCACTCACACTCCTCCTCTCCCCGTTTTCCTGGCCCAGCTCCATGAGGAGAAGCTCTTGGAAAAGAAAAACAATGTGAGAGCCTGAGGGGGAGGGGAAGAGGCAGGAAATCCCAGTGCCAGCCAGACGCCCGCCACAACCACGCTGGTTATAGGGATTCGGGGGAAGGTCCTCCAGGCTCTGTCTGTTGGGCCCTTCTGGCCACCCCTAAACGGAGAGGGTGTCAGGGACGGGGGCCAGTGCCATATCTTCGCTGTGTCTGGGAGCCACCAGGCCTGGCATGGGGCTCAGTGGCGTGGGGGCGGGCTCTGTCCAGGAATCTCCAGCCTGTCGTGCAAGGGGCAGGCCAGGCGCCGCCCAGGCCCCTAATGGCTTCCAGGCGCCCACGCTAGAGGCAGGGGTGGGCTCCAGGCTCAGCTCCTGTTGCCCTTCCCAGCAGCCTGTCCCACTCCCTCCTGGGGGCTGGGTGGGGGAAGGGGAGCAAGGGGAAAAGAGGAGCTCCGGACAGCCCTTCTGCCTTTCCTCCAGGGTCCCCTGGAGGCTGTCTGTGCACATGTTGGGGAAGGGGTGGGGGTCCCAAAGCTGGTTTTCTTGAGAAGTCCACTCACCAGCACACCAGGAACCCTGCACCCTGTGTAGATTCAGGGCAGACGGACCCTGCCTAGCAACGCCTTCCCTCATCCCCCCCTCCACCCCACTCCAATCCCACTCACATAACACAGCCTTGGGGAGACACACTCACACATAGTCCTAGTAACCGACGCAGTCACTGAGAATCCTGCAACACAGAAGCTCAGCTTACAGTTACAGAGACAGGCTCTGTCTGCCCTGTCCTGCCCGTCCCCTCCCCACCAGGCTCAGTACCTTCTTCCCATAAGGTGTGTGTTTTTGTGTGTGTGGGGTGGCCTCTGGATTCCTCTAGGGTGTCACCACCCCCCAAAGAGCAGGTCAGGGAGGGACCAGCCACCACAGCCCTCAGAGAGCCTTCCCTGCCCCACTTGCCCCTTTCTTCCCCTCTCCTGCCTCCCATCAGCCAGACGGATCTATCCCTGCTTTAATCCTCACGGTTTCTGCTCACCCTGCTCCCCCAACTCAGAATGGCCCCCCTCCCCACTCCTGACTCTGATGAAACCCTCACCTGTCCTTCAAGCTCGGTTCTACCACCTCCAGGAAACGCCTTGATCTCCTCAGCTCCAACTGCTCCCCAGGGAGCACAGCCCTACAAACTGTCATGGCCAGATGTGGCCAGCTGCCCTCTCCTCTTGCAACGCACGCCTCTCTGATCCAGATGCGACACTTGTGCCACCCACAGCTTCTAGGACAGGACTTGGATACAGGATTTGCTTAAAGCTGGCTGGTAAGGTGGGCAACTGAAGGCTAAACCATGACCTTGCATCCCCTTAGTTGGGAAGTCCTCCCAGTGGGACTCAGAGCTCCTGAAACCCACTCTCACAGCCATCTTCATTGCCCCAGGCAGCTGCTGGTCCACTCCAGGACAGAAGCTAGAATGTTTCGATCCCATACTTGCCTCAGGGTAGGCTCTCATTCACCTTGTTCATAGAAAGTGACCAGAGGTTCCCGCTGCTTGTGGAACTGTTTAGAAGGTCTCTCCCCACTTCTTTCTCCATCAGCAAACTCCTACACATCCTTCAAGACCCTCTTCTGGGGAGCCTTCTCTGATTTCACAGAGTATGTTAGTGTTCCCAAAACACTGGCACCTCCCTGTTCTTCAGTAGTAGTCACAAGAAATCTTGGTCTCTCTGGCTGTTAGCACAGGGTCCAGCATACAGCAGATGCTGCATAAATGCATTCTAGGCTGATAGATAGAAGATGGACGGTTAGGGGTCTTCTAGTGAAGACGGAAGACTGAACTATCCTTAAGGATAAGGAGTCATTTTGTGGCCACGCTCTGAAACAGGCAAGTGTCTGAAACTGTCTGTGGCCAAGGTCAAAGGCAGAGGTCATCTTGTGGCCAGGTCAGGGATCAGTCTTCTTACCCGAGGTAGCCTAAATAGACAACTTTGTTTTTTCCTTAGCATGTTTAGATAACGGTCAATATCCAGTGAGAGAAGTAAGCAAAGCTGAAGCCTGGATGTGGGCCAGCTGAGGGGCCTGGGGGTTGCCAGGTGGCTCAACTCTTCCCTCAAACTCAGAACACTCTTCCGTCTTTCCAGAACCTTTCAGGTGGCGCTCTGGAGCTGCCCATGGCCACAGGCCTGGCTGTGGGCAGGGAGCAGAGCCCGGCAGGAAACCGCAGAGGACAGCCTGATTGGATAAATGCAGGGTCCAAGGCTGGTCAGCCCACAAACTGTGGGCACCTGTTCCTTGGACCTGCTGCCGGGGCTCCAGCCACTGGATCACCAGGAGAGGACTGAGAGGAGTGAGAGAGGTAAGCAGGGCCTGCAGGCTGGACCTGAGCCCCAGGGTAGGCACCTCTGGCCTGTCCCAGGAATCCCCATCTCAGACCGAGGAGCCACAAAGATGTCCTAGATCACATTGAGAACTCCTTTCTTTATAACGGGCCAGCTTAGGCCCAGAGGAGTGACTACTTGCCCACACAGGGGACCAACAGCAAAGTGGGGGTGACCTGGGGGGTAGTGCTGGAGTGCTCAGACTGGCTGCTTCCACTCCTGGGATGTCTACCTAAGCACATGAGTTCCCCTGGGAACACTTACAGGATGGGGGTCCTCAGGCATCAGGCCAAGTGGCCAGGCATAGCTGGTATGGGAGAGAGTGAGTGTGCCTTTCATGGGGACCAGCCGGCCTCTCAGCAACTCCTTCAACTATTCTCTCTGGTAGAAGGGACATCCCACCAGTCCCGGCTCTGCCACTGATAGGCTGCGTGATCATGGGCAACTTTCTGCCCTAGCTGGGACTGTTTCCTTGCCTGTACAGTGAGGAGAGGAACTAGTAAGATGCCTAAAAGCTCTGTCCAACAAGTGGGCAGACCCTGCGCCAACCTGAACCAACCAAACCCCCATCTAGGTCTGTACAATCCACCCTTAAGATACAGAAACCAGAGCCGGGGCGGAGAACGGGCTTGCCAGCTATCATCCACCCGCACCATCAGAACAGTGAGGCAACTGAGGCCCACTCCAGTCTCCTCGCACTCTCGAGCCATCGCTCTAACTGCCCCAACTCCTTCCAGAAATTCGCTTTCTGCCCTCCCACGCCAGAAGCCGCGTCTGCCCTCACTTCCTTGCCCCCTCACCAACCTCCCCCGTCCAGCAAAGACGCCCCGCTCCCTCTAGCGGCTGGCGGAGGGCAGAGGGGGCTCCCGACCCCGCGCGACGCGGTCCCGCCCACCCCGCCGCGCGGCTCCCATTGGCGGCCACCGCGGGCCGGGGCGGCAGCGCCGTGCTCCCATTGGATCGTGCGCCCGTCCATCCCGCACTCGCCATGGTGACCACGTTGGGTCCCCCGGGAGAGTTCCAAATTCCGCCCCCGCCCGCCGCCCCCCTCCCGTCCGGTCCCGGCCCGCAGCATTCCGTAGGAGGCCCTGCCCCCCCCCCCCAGCCCCCGCAGCCCCTCCACACCCGAGGTCCAGGGTCCCGGGAGGTGGGGGGAGCCCGGGAAGGGGGCTAGGAAGTTCTGCTCGGAGTTTGGGGGTTGCTGCGGACGCTGAGCCCCTCTCCTACAGCACGCCCCCAACTTAACCCCTTCCCTCCCGCGGAAGGTTCGCTGTCTGGGGGGAGTTCCCGGGACACAGTGGCTTGCCGTCCCCTGCACTGCCGCCCTCGCTCACCTCCGCCGGGGACCCGCGGGCTCCGGATGTCCGACCCGCTGCGGCTGGGAGGAGCGGGCACGGGGCTTGCTGCGGCCGCCGCCTGGAGGGCCGAGGGAGGGCCGCCGAGTCTCCTCCTCCCACCGGGGGGGTGGGGAGAGGAGACGGCGGGGCGGGGGCGGTGGGTCCCGGCCAGCGGCGGCCCTTGTGTGACCCGGGTCCGCCGGATCGCTAGGTGGGGGCACCAGACTGACTCTGGGGCAAGGGGCGCGGGCCGGGGCGGAGGGCTCTGCTGGAGAGCGAGCAGGACCCGGCCAGAGGCCCCACCCCCAATTGGGGCCGAGGGTGGGGGGATGGAAGGCTGGGTCTGGGGGCCCCGCAGGGTTCGACTTTCCCGCCTCAGGTTTCCCGAGCGCCAGCAACGCACTAGGCACCCTGCAGCAGAAGTGGGCAGCGCCTGTCCTGGGCTCCGCACGTGGGGCGCGCTGACCTAGTGTTCACTTTTGTTACCTGCCTTCTTCCTAGGGTCAGCAATGCAGCTGAGCGGCCGCGAAGCAATAAGGCTCTGCCTGTTGCCGGGCCTCAGTTTCCCCTTTGTACCACAAAAGGGTCACCAAAGTAACCTCACGCGCGTGGAGAAGCCGTGGTGGTGCACTTGGCCCACCCGGCGGAGATTTTCTCCGAAGGGCCTCGGTGCTTCCCGCTGGCGACAGGGCCGGGCTGGCGGTCCCCAAGCAATTACGGTAAGGCGCTCAGGCGTGCGCCCCGCGGCTGTGGGGCTTCCTCTGCCCTTGGGAATAAGGTGTCTGCGGTTTGAGCGGGAGGTGGGGTCAGGCGCCTCTCCTCAGGGCATCCTGTACCTGGAAGGCAACTGCGGTGAACCCCCTCCCCGCCCCCACCGCTTTTCTTAAAGTAGTCTCCACACCCACCGTGGGCCTTGAAGTCAGGACCGTGAGGTTAAGAGTCCTGTGGTCCACCGCCTGAGGCCGCCAGGCGCCCCTGCGGTGAATCTTTCTAAAAAGACAACCGAAACTTACAGAGATAGCGAGGGCAGCCAGACTGCATCAGGACTTTGCCTTGAAAAGGAAACTAAAAGTGCTGTAGAAAAATTAGCCTTAAGTCCTGATTAACCCTAATTTAGATTGTGTGCTCAGAGTACTGAGTATCTGCCTTTCCCCAGCCCAAGGTACACAGAAACCAAAGACCAGCCTTGCAACGTTCATTGCATTTCCCTCTACCACAACACATACCCCCACCCAAATCGGCCTCCATCGGATGCTATCAGAGTTTCTAACCCTGCAGATATGAAGCAACTGAACAGGCCAGCGAAACTGCAAATCTTGCAAAAAGTGTGGGGTTTCGTGAAGTTGGCATGACGCGGTACAAATGAAGCCGCAGCTGACCACAGAGGAAGAGAACATCACTTAGAGAGAAATGACCGCGTCCTTCCAGAGAGAACTGACTACCAAAGGATTCCAAAGCTGAGGAAATGCTCAGGGGGCGCTTATGGATCAGACTTACCCAGAGTCCCATGGCTGGTAAGGACAGCAATGGGCCAAGAGCCCCCGGTTCTTTCCCAGAGTTTCTGGAGGCAGCAGGGGGGCTGGAGAAGGTTGAGGAGGCTGAGTTGGCAGTGAACTTCAGTTCCAGTTAGAACATCACAGCTGGGCCCTTTCTCTTAAGAAAGGAAGTAGTCCTAGTTATGTGCTTTGCAGCAGGTGGAGAGATTCCACCTGTCATGGAACCAAGATGGGGACAGACCTGAAGCATGGCAGTTCATAGGAATTATCTCACTGTTCAGCCGCCCCACCAGCCTACAGTGAGAATCAGAGGTCAAGGGACAGGCCTGGAAGAGGCACAAAACCAGAAGGTCTGAGAGCCCCGATCTGACTCAACGTTACTTAACATTGTCCCCACTGTTCCTGAACCCACACCCCCAGACTGCCCACTGGTGTCAGCCTCCTGGCAGCCCTCCAAAGGGGTTCCTTCCCCAGCTCAGCCCAGTGGGTTTGTCGACAGAGGACTGTGTTGGTATTTTCCACATTCCAGAAGTTCTGTCTTGTACCCCTGCTGCCGCTTTTTGCCATCGACACCTAGCACGTTCCCTGCCCGTCATTTCCATGTTGTAAGACGTACGGGTATTTTAGAGTAAGTAGGAAATCGGCATCGGTCTCCATAAATAGAAGAAAACCATAAAAATAAATACCGTGTAAACACACAACACCACTGAGAAACTAGAAACCGGCTCTTTGTTAAATAGGGACGTGATTGTACACCTTTCACAAGAACCAAAAGATAGAGGCCACCCAAGGGTCTGTCAGGAGACAAATGGATAAATGATATTGGTCTATTTGTACATTCAAAAGAATATTATTTAGCCTTAAAAAGGAAGGAAAGGCTGATCCATGTGAAGTGAAATAAGCCAGTCACAGAAGGAGAACTATTAGGTGATCCCACTTCCATAAGGTTTCTAGAGTGATCAAGTTCATAGAGCCGAGTAGAATGGGAATGGTGGCCGCCAGGGGCTGTTGGGAGGGGGTGAGGGGGAGGGAACTTGCTCCTTAACAGGGACAGAGTTTCCCTTTGGGAGGTGGAAAAGTTCTGGAGAAGGTAGACGGTGGTAACGGCCGTGTAATTAAGGCCACTGAACTGTACACTTACAAAAGGGTCAAAATGGTAAATTATATGTATATTTTGCCACAATAAAAAAATCATTCAAGGGACGCCTGGGTGGCTCAGTTGGTTAAGCAGCTGCCTTCGGCTCAGGTCATGATCCCAGCGTCCTGGGATCGAGTCCCACATCGGCCTCCTTGCTCATCAGGGAGCCTGCTTCTCCCTCTGCCTCTGCCTGCCATTCTGTCTGCCTGTGCTCGCTCTCTCTCCCTCTCTCTCTCTGACAAATAAATAAATAAAATCTTTAAAAAAAAAAATCATTCAAAATCAGATATCTCATTTTCTGTGTCCAATAAAAGGTTGAAGAATGAAAAAAAAAAATAAGGACACAGGGCAGGGGAAGAGAGGAGTTAGAGAAAATTTGGCTCTAAATGGAGCCTTCTCTCAGATGCAACCAGGATTGGAAAACACTGAAAACTAAATGAGTTTTTCATGCTGTGACTCAGTTTATGACATGTCCTGTTGGCGGTCCCCCTTCCCGTCCTTCACTGATAGGGTGAGCAGCCCTACGGGGAGAGACATGTCACTGGGGATGGTGTGTGTGGGGGGATGGGAGGTGGCCTGCTGCCCTTCTCCCTGCCTGGGGTGCTGACCGAGGGACTGGCATGCTTCTAATGCTCAGGCATCTGGGATGTTTAATAGGGGAGTCAGAGACAGCGCAGCCTTCTCAGCGGAAGTAGGACAGGAGCTGCCCCATGGGCCCCTGAGGGATAGAGAAGAACTGGGGTCCTGCCCAGCACATGTGTGTGTTGCAGCTGGGACAGAGCAGAGAGGTGAGTGTGACTGTGGCAAGCTCATCCAGAAGTGGGCGGACACAGAAGCCAGATGGGTCTAGACCATGAAGGCAATAGGGAGCCACTGCTGGCTTTTGAGCTAGGGAGGGTCTTGGCCATGGTTTCTAGGGTCTGGAGAGCAGGGTGAGGTAAAACCAGCACTCCACCAGAGGCAAGGCATAGTGAGGCCGGCACAGATCCCGGGTGGAAAATAGAGGAGCATCAGGGTGAGCGGGGCCTCCTCCTGGGCCCCGAAAGCAGCCGCCTGGGTTCACAAGAAGCATAAGGAGGAAGACTGCTGGTGTTGTAATTCTAGAGGTGGCTAGGAGACCTCAGAAGGAAGGGCTTGGAGGTCATGATCTGGGTCAAGTGCAGAGAAAGGCAAAGGCTTGCTCAAGTCATCCAGCAGGAGTGTAGCCGAGGGATCAGGTCACAGGTGCATGGATGTCCCTGCTGCTGCGGTGGTGGTGGTGGGCCTGGAGACGTGGGTCTGCGCTCCCCCTAAGTCTCCCTGCTTTCAGAGGCGCAGCTCTCTGCCCGCTTCCCGTAGATGGCTGAGCCAGCCCCTGTGGGTTGTGCTTGGGTGGGGGAAGAGGGAAGAGAGACCCTGTTGGGACTTGCCTGCTTTCTCCACCTTGCTGCCTCCCCATCTCACCTTGGGGATAGGAAAGTACATTCCTGAGTCAGAATTTTCCCAGGGAGTTTGGCTGAGCGAGAGAGAGCACCCTGCCTCCCACCAATTCACACAGACACCTCCCCTTCCCCTTGGGGGTTCTGCGGAGGAAGTAGCCGGAGCAGGACAGGCGGACCAGCCTCTAGCCACAGTCTGGCCCGGTCTTTCCTGCTCTCCGTTCCCAGCGAGGCCTTTCCACAGCTGTGAAACAGAGTGCTGGGGGCTTGGCAGCATCACCTCCCAGAAGTGCCACACTGCCCTGTGAGGCGGTACTGTCTCATCTCCATGTTAGAAGGGAAACTGCGGCTCAGAGGGCCCAAAGTCCCCCAGCCAGGAAATGGCAGGCCTGTGGTTTGAGGCCAGGAGGTCAGACCCCGCCCTCGCCTGAGGCTGGAGCCTTCTCAGTCCCGTTAACGGTCTGTCAGGTCAGGCGGGGATCATTCTCCCTTTTCTGAAGGTGGGGAAACTGAGGCCAAAAAGGCGTAGAGCGGAGGTAGGTCTTGAAACCTTGCCGGGTGCTACGTGGGCCAGCCCTCCCCCGCCTCCCCACAGCCCGAGCGCCGCTGCAAGGTTCAGCTACCCCCCGGAAGTGCTGCAGGCACCAGGTAAGGGTGAGAGCAAGAGATGTCCTGCCTGGCTACCAGTTCAGAGGAAGCAAAAGGCTGCTGGCGGGGAAAGAAGAAGTGAAGCCTGAGCGTGGTGTGGTGTGGGGGCGCCGGGTGAAGAGAGAAGGGGAGGGCTGAGGACCTGGGCTGAGCTGTGCAGAGAGGCAGCCCCGGCACACACATCCAACTTCCCTTTCTCTCTGTGGACAGGACGGTGACAGCAACGCAGCAGCTGGACAGCAGCGGCCCCACAGGTCAGCTTCACCGGGCAGCACCATTCCCTGCTCCCGCAGCTCTCTGTCCTCATCTGTAGGTCCCCAGCAGGCACCAGGCTTGTCCCTGCCTTGGTGGGCCCAGGATCGGTGACATCCTAGGGGCTCCCGGCTGGGGACCTGCCCTTATCCTCTTCACCTTCTGGTGGCAACTCCAGAATCTCTGGGAATGTAGAAGTCTGTCGATCTCTCCATCTATCTATTTTTTTTTAAAGATTTTATTTATTGCTTTGATAGATCGTGAGCAAGGGGGTGGGGAGGGCAGAGGGAGAGGGGGAAGCAGGCTCCCCACCGAGCAGGGAGCCCACCTTGGGACTCCATCCCAGGACCCTGGGATTATGACCTGAGCTGAAAGCAGCCACCTAGGTGGCCCTCTATTTATTTTTTTAAAGCAATTTAAATTAAGGAGTGGTTAGGCATTGGGTTCAAATCCTAGCTCCCCACTGTGGCCTAGGGCAAGTTATTAGACTTTTCTGGATTTCAGTTTCCTCATTGATAAAATGGGGTGAATCTGGTAATCTGTACCACGGATGACATGGGGGAGGGTCCGCATATTTCTACCCAGAAATTTCTAGCCCAGAAGTTTCTACTGGGCTAATGCGAGCTGGTGCCCTTCCTCTCAGAGTGACCTGGACTGGAGCCTGGGGACAGTATGTCTCAGGGAAGTGGCTCTGGTGCTGGCTTGGTCGCAGACTCTGGCTGGGCCTTGACGTGGCCTCCCTTTCCCTGCCTGTGAAATGGGGATAAGAATGCTACTTGTCAGGGATTTCCTTCAGAGACCACGGGTTCACTCATCTCCCAGGCCATGGTGAGGCCAGCGGTGGGAGCTCCAGCCTGTGTCTGGCAGGAGTGGCTGTTTGCCGGGGGGCAGTGGGGCCACATGCAGGGGTATGACTGGCTCAGCAGACCTGGGGCTGTGGGAGACAGGGTGGGCTGCAGGGGGGTGGGGGGGATGCATGGTCAGCCCCAGGGAGGAAGGCAGGGGGTCCCAAGTCTTATGCTCAGATATATCCTGGGCTGGGGCTTTGGATCAGAGCCCTAAACTTGCAGTGGGGATTGTGAAAATGTCTCTGAGTCTCTCTTCCTGGGAGATAGGTCTCCTTGGCCTCACTTTATGGACAAGACACCCTGAAGCATGGAGAAATGGACTTATTGCCCAATGTCATGGCCCAGGCACTGACTACTGGAACTGATTATCAAATTTGCATCTTCTAAAGCCTGTGGCCTGCACTCTGCATGTTTCCCCATCTCTTTGTTGGCCTCGACAGAGTCTTACTCATTTGTAGAGCAACTCAGATACCCAGCCGTCTTGGAGAGGCTGCAGTGCACAGCGCGGGGAGGGCAGCTGACTTGGAGTCTACAGTGCTGGGTTTGAGTCCCAGCTTGACCACTGGCCTGCTATAACCCCAGGCCAACTCTTAGTGGTTTCCAGTTTCCCCACGATCCACTGGAACCATCTTGGACATCAGGTAAGGGAGTTCTGTTTCCCAGGAAGCCCCAGTAAGGAGCTGCAGGGTAGATGGTGAGAGGGGTGAGGGTGTGGGGTGACCAGGCACAGTGGCTACTCTGAAGGGCTGGGGAGAGCGGTGCTGAAGTCTCAAGTGGAAGTGAGGACTGTGGTTTGCCCCTGGGAAAGGGAGTGGAAACCACAGCCATCTGGGGTACTTGGAGGAGGTCTCACTTCTTCTTTGGCCTTGATTTCTCCAGCTGGTCATGGGGTTAGGCCACCCTCTTCCCTCTGTAGACACAGAGCAGGGTGGCCAAGGGCCTGGGGTCCAAGCTTTATGGTCCAGACCCTGGAGGTCAAATCCACATTGTGGTCTGGGCCTCAGTTTCCCCATTCACACAGTGAGGGAGGGGACAAGATGACCCAAGATCCTGTCTGCACTATGGGGCCCTCAGTCTTCTCATCTGAAACATCTCAAATTGTTTCCTTCAGCACTTCCTTTGTCTCCTCAGATCTTTCCCTCCTCTCTTCTCTGAGGTTCTGAGAATTGGCCAAGATAACACAGCTGAGTAGCTAACCAAGTGGCCAAATGATTAAGAACCCAGTGTTCTATGACTCCAACCAAAGTCTCTATTCTCTCTCTCACTCTTTTTCAAAGATTTATTTATTTGAGGCAGGGGAGGTGTGAGGTAGGGGCAGAGAGAGAGGAAGAGAGATATTCTCAAGTAGACTCCCCACTGAGCACGTAGCCCGACCAGGGCTCAATCCCACAGCCCTGAGATCATGACCTGAGCAGAAACCAAGAGTCAGATGATTAACTGACCAGACCACCCAGGAGCCCTTCTAGTCTCTTTTCAAGTAAACACATATATTAATAAATAATGTTAAGATAAATGGATGGGAGCACCCAGAAAAAAGTATCACATCCCCATTTCATACTGTACTCCAGGATTGATGCAAATGAACTAAGGGTTCCCATGTGAACAATGAAACCTCACAAGTCCTACCAGAAACTTAGGAGAATTCCTTTATACCTGGAGTAGGGTAGGTTGGTCTTTCTAGCTTTGACTCAAAATCCAGAAGCCAAAAGAGAAAAGTACTGGTAATTCTGGTCACACAAAAATTATACACATAAAAAAAGGCTTATACACGGCAGAAGGACCATATGTAATGTACAAAGACAAATGATAAGCCAGGAAACATATTTGCAACTCACATAATAGACCACGAGCTAATTTCCCTACTACGTAAAGAGTTTCGAGAAGATGGTAAGGAAGCTTTGAACGTAAAACAAAAATGGGTGGATGGTGAACTTGGACGTGGGAGAAATGTTGTCAGAACAGCTGCACTGTTGGAAGGAACCAAAGACTGGAACCCACACGGCCTGCTGTTCTGAGGGCATCTGCTGAATAAGTTAGCGCTTTTCCCTCCAACGTCAGACTGTGCAGTTGGAAAAGAAAAAGTGGAAACTCTAGGTACTGTTACGGAAAGCTCTCCAAGATGTATTTCCAAGCCAAAAAAGTTTTCATGTAAGACGAGGAGAATTTTATATCCTTATATTTATTTGAGACTTGGGAAGATTCAGCAAACACTAGCAGCAGTAGTTACCTGGGGGAGACTACCTGGGAAGGGAGTGGTTGGGTGACACAGGAGACAGAGATCATTTGCATTTACACCTTTGTGGACTTACTTATTGTTTGGATTTGAAAGATGTAAATTTCTAAACTCTCTGAAGAGCAGGGACGTCTGGGTGGCTCAGTCAGTCAAGCATCTGATTCTTTTTTTTTTTTTTTTTAAAGATTTTATTTATTTGTCAGAGAGAGGGAGAGAGAGCAAGCACAGGCAGACAGAATGGCAGGCAGAGGCAGAGGGAGAAGCAGGCTCCCTGCCGAGCAAGGAGCCCGATGCGGGACTCGATCCCAGGACACTGGGATCATGACCTGAGCCGAAGGCAGCTGCTTAACCAATTGAGCCACCCAGGCGTCCCCAAGCATCTGATTCTTGAACCCCAGCTAAGGTCTCGATTTCAGGTTTGTGAGTTCAAGCCTTGTGTTGGGCTCCATGCTGGGTGGGGAACCTCCTTAAAAACACAACAACTCTCTTAAGAGTAAATAAAAATTGAGAAACGTGTAACTGTAATGTATGGGGTAACATTGGGAAATCGGGGCACCCAAAACAAGAGTCTGAACCTCACCACACACAAATGACCCCCGCAGCTTTCAGAACTTGGGTCTATAAAAAAATGTGACTTTTACAAGGATTGGATTACATTGCTTTGCAAGATATATATATATTTTTTTTCATAAATAATAGACCACCATTATTTTTCCATAATGGTAGTCATTTGGAACATAAAAAATTCTAAGCATTAAAGACTTGTTTTTTTGTTGCGAGGGTAATACATGTTTGTCGTAGAAAATTTGAACTGTACTGGAAAACCTAAAAAAGAAAGGAATCCTCCTCCCCATAACATTATTAACATTTTGGTGACTGTTTTTCTAGATACGCTCCTAGGCCTAAACATGTATATTACCATAAATTTCCATACATGTAATTCCATTGTGTGTGTTATGTTCTACTGTCCCTTTCTAGGCAGTGAATGGTATACTGTGCTCCTCTTTTATGTCCTTAATGACATCATGATTTTTGATAGTGAAATGGCATTCCATTGTACTGAACTTTGAATTTTTTACTTTGGAAAACAACGATCAGTTCACAGGAGGTTGCAAAAAAAAAAAAAAGTACAGAAAGATTTTGTATACACTTCATCCAATTCTTTATATTCTTCTCCTTTTATTTGTTGTTTATTTGTTCCATCCTGGAATCTTCTTTTCTCCTGCCACCTTCTGGACAGGATAGACCCTGGTCCTGCTGTCCCACCAACACCCGGGGGGAGTAGCTTCTTGCATTTTCTGTGAAGTAGTTTCACCTCTTCTCTGGTGGGATTTCCTGTACCCTATGTTGTCTTTCATGATTTACTCCCTTGTTCTCTTGGAGCGTATCCTCCAGCAGCTTTCTGAGAGAGGGTGTGTGCTTTAAAATACCTAGTGATCCTTGGTTGACCATTCATCTTTGAGAGTGCAGCACTAACACTTAACTGCTTGTCGGAGCTGTTGACTGGGAAAGCTTCACCCTAAGTTTGGTCCTGGGAATTTCATTGAGGAGCCCCAAAACATCTGTAATGATAGGATATTTTTCTTGGAATGGCCAGTTCTTTAGAGAAGAATTTTCTTCTGCCTAAGAGCATTGCCACCTGGCTGTTGCAGGCTTCTGGAAGCTGAGTGGAGGAGGAGGTGGGAAGGAACATGGCTTAATTTTTCTATACATGAATGGCATCCCATCCTTCCCCTTAGATTGTCTATCATGCACTGTCTCCAGGGAATGAACTTTATGTTGGGGTGGCGTTGAGGGTGGTAGGGTTGTGACAGTGGTCCTGGACACCCCAGGTAGAGGAGGAAATCTGGGACCCCAGCTGGTCACTTTATAGACTCACAGTTGGGCCACCTGGGTGGCTTGGTTGGTTAAACATTGGCTCTTGATTTCAGTTCAAGTCATGATCTCAGGGTCGTGAGATTGAGTCCCATGTTGGACTCTCTGCTGAGTGTGGAAATTGCTTGGATTCTCTCTCTCCCTCTCTCTCTGCCCCTCTGCTCCCTCCCACTCCAGGCTCACACATGTGCTCTCTCTCTCAAAAAAAAAAAACAAAAAAAAACCACAAAAAAACAAAAAAAACAAAAAAACTCACAAGCTTTTATATCCCATTTTTTTTTGTTTTACCCCTCATCCCTGTTTTTAGAGGTTCTTGATGCCTCTAGTTCTCAAGTGTTCCCAGGGTTGTGAGGCTTCTTCGTGTCCCCTTCCCACTCCCCTCCCCTCACTTCACACCTCTCCTCACAGCAGGCACTCAGGGTGATACCTGCTTTGGCATCTCCAGAGTTTTGCTAACCTTTCCTGCCTACTGTCGTCTTCTTTCTCTTCATTCTGTCTTTGCAGCTCTCTGCCCATTTTATTCACTCACTCTCGGTTTAGTGGAGTTTCAGGGGATTTGACATAAATTTGCTATATTTAAGCAGAAATGTCTTAGTTTATTTTAAAACCACAGAAGGGGCGCCTGGGTGGCTCAGTCGGTTAGGCATCTGCCTTTGGCTCAGGTCATGATCAGGGGGTGCTGGAATGGAGCCCTGCTCTGGCCTCCCTGCTCAGCAGGGAGCCTGCTTCTCCACCTGCCACTTCCCCTGCTTGTGCTCTCTCTCTCTCTTAAAAAAGATCTTAAAAATCTTAAAAAGATCTTAAAAAAAATCTTAAAAAAGAAATTTAAAACCACAGAAAACAAAAGCTTGGAGGGACAAACCTTTGTTCAAAGTCACACGTGGATCAATGACAGAGGTGGACAGGATTACATGTTGCTTCCAAGTGGCTTTTCCTGGATGAAATCAGGGCCCCAGAGGAGCCCCAGAGAGCCCATTTTGGGGGACGGGGAGTGACTCAAGCAAAGCTGTTACTGACAGCCATTTCTGAACAAATGGTCGGGGGTTCTGGAGTCATAAAGACCTGACTCAGGGAACCTCATACAGAGCAAGACCACTTCCGCCCTGAACCTCAGTTTCCCCATCTGTGAAATGCAAGAGTAACGAGGATCAATTAAGATGCTAGACGTCCTACACTTGGGACATGTCAGACACCTAAAGTGAGAGGTCACTCTCTTACCATGGTGACAGTGACATGCATCTTTTCTAGGGCGGAAGCCGGTTCTCAGAAGAGACCGGGTACAAGGCATGGATTGCCGGGGGGCCTTTTTCCTCTGCCTGTGCTTCATGACTTCTCAGAGTGAGACAATGGGTAAGAGGGTGATGCTGAACTGGGGGGCCATCCTAGCCTGGGCCCCTGGCTGTGACATGAAAGGGGGATCCCTTGAACCAAGGGAGCTTGAAAGGGGGCACCACAGCCACCTCGGGCAGCAGCAAGACTGAGGCTGGAGTGGAAGGCTCAGGGACAGAGGCTGAAATAGAGGTCTGACTTTCTCCCTGCAGACACATCCCAAGAACCCCTGCGATGCATGAAAAAACTGGAGACCATATCCAAAGGCCGCAGACCGGCTTCTCTTCCTGAGTGAGTCAGGAGATCCCCCTCATCCACCTAGAGTCAGCTGTGCCTCCTACCCCTAGCTCTCACCTTGAGTCAGTGGTTCAGGGCTGTCCAGTGTGGACCGTTAATCCATTTATTCAACATGCATTTATTGAGTACCTACCGTGTGCCTGGCACTAGGTTCTGGAGAGGCAGGATAAGCATGCCCTGCCCTCATCAAGTGTGCTCTCTGGCTGGGGCCTTTAGCTACGGAGGCAATGAAACCTGGTGCAGAATCCCGTCTCTGCATTTGTCCAGGAAGGAGGGACAAGACTCGGGTTGGGCTCTCTCTGGGGTCTGAGATCTTAATGGGTGCGCAGCTGCGGGTGAGGGGATAGGGCTGGTGAGTGGCCGGGGAAGCCCAGGGACTATCGGGCATTTCACTCAGCCACTAGAGAAGAGTCAGAAGAGGCTTCCGGAAGGAGGTGTCGGCAAAGCTGGACCAGATAGAGAGGTAATCAGGAGACATGGATGAGTGGGGTGGAGAGGTAAGCATGTGCCAGGGATGCACCGCGTGCTGAGGTCTGGGGATGGGAGAAGCCCCGTCCTTCTAGGCTGCCTGGGGCCCCTCCAGCCCCCAAGTCCACCGCGGACCCAGGTCAGCTCTCTTGCCCTCAGCAACATCCGGGAACTGGAGAACAGCCTGTTGAACGCCAGCTTCAGGGGCAACAACCTGACCTTGCAGACACGCTCTATCCAGTCACTGATCTTCAAGCTGGGCTGCGGCTTTGCAGGCCTCTCACTAAACAGCACCACCATGGAGCAGTACTCCCAGGTCAGAGGTTGTGGTGGGGGGCTGGGATGGGGGGCAGGCAGGGCTTAAGGTCCTGACTCCCCTACCCCACCCAAACTAATCCGGTTTGCCCGCCTAGCTGTGAGTTGCCTCCTCTGTAAAATGGGGCTGATGTCCCTCATGCAAATGATGGAAAAGGGGGTACCCTGTGGCCCTGCAAGGGTGGCATTGTCTTCCCGCTTTTGCACGTCTATGGAGGGAGGCAGCTGTGGGAGAGGCCAGGGAATCCAGGGTCCTTGGAAGACCCTGTTGTGATTCCTACTAAATGCCTGGGCGCTGAAGGCAGAGGAGCTCCAGCCCCAGGGGCTGCAGCCGGGTGGGGTCATTTAAGGTGGGGTGGCCTGGAGGGAGGGCCTGGGACCTCAGCACGTTTGGGAGGAGGGGCAGCCTGCTTACCGGGAGAGAGCTCTGCAGGTGGAGGCTCAGAGAAATGAAATGCCTGGGGTCAGGCCGGGAAGGCGTCACAAGGAGTGGGGAGCAGTGAAAGTGTTGGGCCGGCTCCAGAGGCCATGCACCCCAGGCTGAGCCTGTCTGCGCCCCCTCCATAGGCTGGGGTCTCCCACGCCATGCACTTCCCGGCAGAGCTGACCAAGGACACCTGCAGGGCCCGCCCCAGGGAGCTGCGTCTCATCTGCATCTACTTCTCCACAGCCTACTTTTTCCAGGTGTGTGCCTTGGCGGGCCAAGGAGGGTAGGCGCGGGCCCCTTCCTGGGGGCACTGTGAACATCCACACCATCGACTGGCCTCGTGGTGGGGACTCGCACTGGGTGGGACCAGCCCTTCGTGGCCCCAGGCATTGCCCCTTCCGGGCCTCAGTAAGAGGAGAATGGTGGGCAGGCCCACTTACAGGAAACCTATGTGTGAGCCTGTCCTAGGGGAGATAGACAAAGATGCCTTTTTAACCTTGGCTTTGAAAGTGAATGAGGATAGTGGTGAGTTAGGATGGAGGCTGAATGCTCTCAACACAGGGCAGAGAGGTGTGGGTGGGGAGAGGACAGCTTTCTGGGTGGAGGGGACAGGGTGCGTGAAGGCTGCAAGGTTGGCCATGCGGGCCTCGTGACCGTCATGCTCCTTGCTCTCCTCTGGGGGAAGGGGCTGGCGAAGGGGGGTTCTCAGCCCTCAGCGGGGGTCTCCCTCCGTCCCCTGCAGTCAGCCCTTCTTGCTGTCGTTCCAGAATGCCAACTCACTTGTGCTCAATAACTACGTCTTGGGGGCCCAGCTGGGTCAGGCACACGTGAGCAACCTCAACGAGCCTATCAGCATCAGCTTCCAGCACAACCAGAGTCTGGTACTTTTTTCCACCTCTCCCATTCCCCCTTGTGGCTCTCCTGTTGAATTTTGGCTTGACCAAACCCAAATCTGTAGCAGCATTTTGGAAACAAATTATTTCAAATCTATCACAGTTTAAAAATTCCTGTCAAAAGAATCAGAGAGAAGTTTTTAGTTACTGCAGTAGGCAGGATTTTTTTTTTTTTCTTTCTAAGTAGGCACCATACCCAGCATGGAGCCTAGTGCTTGGGCTCAGGACCCTGAGATCAAGACCAGGAAATGAGATCAAGAGTTGGAAACTTAACAAAATGAGACACACAGATGCCCCCTAGGCAGGACTTTGAGTTGCAAGTGATAGAAAACCAAGTGAAGCCAGTTTAAGCACAAAAGGGAATTGATTGACTCACGTGAATAAATGTCCAGAGCTCTCAAGCTTCGGGCATGGTTGGATCCAGGGGCTTATATAATGCCATCCTGACTCAGCCTCTTTCCATTTCTCAGCAATGGTTTCCTGCCTTGGCTCTCTACTCTGGCAAGATGGCAGCTTAAGTGCTAGACCTCTGTCCCCTCTTCCCAGTAGGCTCTTTCTCATCAGTGCAAACCAGGGTCCCAGAACGGAGTTCTAAAGGTCCAGCTGGGTCATGTATCCATCTCTGAACCAGGTCAATGGAATGTGGGATGGCCAGGCCCAGGTCACATGGCTCAGGGACTGGGCTGGATTCACCTGACCTGCCATGGGAGGCATGGGTCCTCCAGAGAAATGCAGAAGCTGATCCTGGAGGAAAGGAGAAGGACTGCTGGGCAGGCATAAGCTCTGAGGCCTCTATTCTTCTGGCCCTGGCATCCCTTAAAAGCCCAGGGCCTCTGTGTTCTGCCCTGACTTCCCATCAGCCTCTTTGGGACTGTCCTGCATTCCCAATTTCTCCATCATATTCCCCCCTCCCCCTTTTAAAAAAAGATTTTATTTATTTATTTGACAGAGATCACAAGTAGGCAGAGAGGCGGGCAGAGAGAGAGAGAGGGAAGCAGGCTCCCTGCCGAACAGAGAGCCCAATGCGGGGCTTGATCCCAGGACCCTGAGATCATGACCTGAGCCGAAGGCAGAGGCTTTAACGTACTGAGCCACCCAGGCGCCCCCATACTTCCTTTTCTTTGCTCTGAGGCTTTGCCCCTGCAAAGGTTCACTCCTCAGTGGTTTTCCATGGCACTGCCTGTGTCATTTGCACCCCCCCCCCCACACCCACATGACTTGGCATCTAGGTTGTCTGTGAGTGAGTCTCTCCCCAACACTGGGCTTGGGGCTGCACCATCATTGTTCTCCATGGGGAGGAGGGGAAAGGGGACAGTTGATTACAGAACAAATACTGTCCGGCCAGAGCTGGACCCTCAAGATTCCTCACTGCCTGTAATTTAATACCATCCTTGGGACTTGGGTATAGATGATCCCATTTTGCTGATGAATAAACTGAGGTTTAGAGAAGCTCAACAACTTGCCCAGGTTACTTGAGAGTCAGAGTAGAGATGAGGCTGGAATCTGGTTCTGTCTGATGCCAAAGCCCAGCCAGTGCCTGGTAAAATGTTGACTAGGGTGCAGTTGAATCAACTTTGGCCCCTACAATTTCCAGACTCTGACCCACAGCCATCCCCCACATCCCTTGGATGCACCCAACTCCAGCCTCTTCCCTTAGGAAGGCTACAAGGTGACCTGTGTCTTCTGGAAGGAAGGAGCCAGTAAACGTTACTGGGGGGTCTGGAGCCCTGAGGGCTGTCGCACAGAGCAGCTCTCACCTTCCAGGGTGCTCTGCCGCTGCAATCACCTCAGCTACTTTGCTGTTCTCATGGTATGTGTGCCTCCAGTCCAGCTGAGGGGAGTCAAAGCAATAAAGGGCCCCATGTCTAAGCAAAAGGAGCAAGGCAGAGGTTGGTGTAGGGGACAAAATCCAACTCAAATGGGCTTAAGGAGGTAAAAGAGAAACTTATGAACTCATGTTGCTAAAGAAGCTATGTTAGGCTTCAGGCATGGCTTGATCCAGATGCTCAATATCACCAAGACAGGGCTCTATCTATCTCCCAGCCGTGCTTGCTTTGTGCTGGCCTAGCCTTTGGACAGGATTTCCCCACAGGATAATAATATGGCTGCTAGCAGACCCAGGCTCATGTCCTACTAGCTGTTAGGCCAGTAGAATGAGAGCTTTCTCTTACCCAATTCTCCCAATCTTGGGATTGGGTCCCACTGCATTGGAGTGTGTCCCACTCCCATCCCTCAACCAGTCACTGGGCAGGAGGAGGGAGGGCTCTGATAAATCAGGCCTAGTGCACCTGTTCACACATAGTAGGACCGGCCATGTGCACAGACAGTGGGGGAGGGGAGGTTCTCATAGAAAAAGGGGAGATGGGAGTTGAGGGAGGGCAAAAGCCACTGTGTCTGCCAGGCCTTTTTTTTTTTTAAAGCCAGGACCACAGTGAGGTTTGTGGTGCGACAGGGGAGTTTGGAGCTAAGGTCTTAGCAGGTCCCTGTCACTGTCGGGAGGGCATTTCCATTCTTCTGTCCCCCATCTCCCCTTCCTTCCTGCAGCAGCTGTCCCAAGCCCCGGTCCCCAGAGAGCTGCTGGTGCCTCTCATATACATCTCCCTGGTGGGCTGCAGCATCTCCATTGTGTCCTCGCTTCTCACTATCCTGCTGCACTTCCAAGCCAGGTACTCCCCTGCCCCTGGGCTGGGCCTGCCCACCTGCTGCTGCTCAGCACCCCTCCTTCTTGTCTAACTGACCCCCCAGAGCAGGATGCGCTCCTCCAGGGCATGGAGGTTGGGAGGCAGGAGACCAGCCTTGCTGTGTGGCTGCTGTTCAGTCCCTGTCCCCCACCCTGAGCCTCAGTCATGTGTCCCTGAGCCCCGGGGGGTGGCACTGCCTGGGTGATGTCCCCAGACCATGGAAGGTCATGCTTCCATGTGCAGGAAGCAGGGTGACTCCATGACACGCGTACACATGAACCTGCACGCCTCCGTGCTGCTCCTGAATGTCGCCTTCCTGCTGAGTCCTCTGCCAGCCACGCCCCCTGTGCCTGGGTCAGCGTGCACAGCAGTGGCTGCCATCCTGCACTTCTCACTGCTCAGCTGCCTCACCTGGACGGCCATCGAAGGCTTCAATCTCTACCTGCTCCTTGGGCGCGTCTACAACATCTACATCCGCCGATACTTGCTGAAGCTCTGTGCAGTGGGCTGGGGTAAGCAGAGCCTCCCTCCGATCTTGCTCCCTGAGGCTTCTGGCTGGACAGTGGACAGGGTGTCTACCCCACTTCTGCCCTTCTCTTCTCCTCTTCCTCGTCATAGTTACCGCATCCTGAGCACGGCTCATCCCTGTCAACATTCGCCACTACTTTCTGCTCTACTGTTCTTATCATCCATTCTACTTCCAACATCTCCATGACCGTCACCTCCAACATCTTCATCACCTCCACCTCCAACACCTCCATCCCCTCCACCTCCAACATCACCTCCAAAACCTCCATCATTATCACCTCCAACACCTCCATCATCACCACCTCCAATACCTCTGTCCCCTCTACCTCCACCACCTCCATCATCACCTCCAACACCTCCATCATCATCTCTGACTCCTCCATCACCATCACCTCCAACACCTCCATCAGCATCGCTTCCAACACCATCTACCAACAACATCTACCAACATCACTACCACCTCCGACACTTCCATCACCTCCACCATCATCTCCACCATGTCTACCTCCAACACTGCCATCAACGCCACGAATATGTCTGCCCCTGACTGTACCACGACCTTCACCTCCACCTCCGGCATCACCACCATGCTCATCCTCATCTTCAACACTATCTCTGACACCACCATCACTGGCACCTCTAACCCCATCCTAGCTCCTCTTTACTATCTCGGTTTCCTCCTGAGTTCCGCCAGCCCTCTGTCCTGTTAGCTCCATCTCCCCACCACCACTGCCACTCCCATCCCACCCTGGAGCCCTCACTGACACTATCTTGGAGCGCAGCCTCCTCTAAGACCTACAGGCTAAGTGCCCTGAAGCTGGACCGTACGGCAGGGCCTGGGGGCTCAGAAGAGACCTTCCCCTCCCCGCTTGCTCAGTGGAATTCTGTTTTAGCAGCCCCAGGGACCCATGACCAGCCCCTCTCAGGGTCACCTGACAGGTGCTGAGCCTCTGTTTTACCTCTCAGGGGTCCCAGCCCTGCTGGTCCTGCTCCTTGTTGTTGAGAGCTCAGCATACGGACCCTGCACAATTCCAGTCTCCGGCAGTCAAGAAAATGGCACGGGCTTCCAGAACATGTCCATGTGAGTGCCCTGAGGGGTGTGGCAGGCTCCCTAGCTCTGGCAGAAGGGCCCAGGGACTCTGAACAGGGTGTCCTATAGGCAGGACACTGGCTGGGGGGCGAAGAGGGGGCTGTGTTTCAGAGAGGGATAGTTTCCAGGCTTTGCCATAGCCCTTCTGCTGGATCCCAAGGTCTCCTGCAGAGGCAGGCTCTTGCTCTAGGCTGGCAACCTCTAGGGAGACTGGCATGAGCTCTGGTGCCTGCTCATGGGCTTCCATGCCCAGGGCAGCAGGACCCCTGGCTCCTGGCCGAGTGCGGCGATCGGCTCAGCTTCCCCTCCTGCTCTCCAACCCTGCCCCAGGAGGTCAGCCCACTCCTGACTCTGCTCACTCTTCCCACCGCCTTGCTGTGCTCCTTTGGGCTCCTGTGGCCCTGATCTGCTCCTGCATAGTGCTGGCAGCCCTCAGATTGTCCTCAGCAGAGAGAGCACTGCAGGGGCTGGGACGCCCAGGGACAGGGCTCGGCATGTGTGTGTGTGCGTGCGTGTGCGTATGAGGTGGCCTGGGCAGTCTGCGGGACAGACTCTGCTGCCTCTTCCTGTGCCCTAAGAATGAAGGTTCTCACGGCCAACATAGCGAGAGTAGCTGAACGAACCCCTGTAGACCTATCTCCTGTTTAAACTGTGCAGCAAGGAGTAGGTCCTACTGTCAGCCTCTGTTTACAGTTAGGGAAACTGAGGCATGGGCTGCTGAAGAACCCCACCCAAGGAAACCCAGGTGGTTCCTGGCAGAGCTGGGACTTGGCCACAGGCAGGCTGGTTCCAGAGGCCCCCCCCCCCACTACCCCTCTCAGCCTCCTGGAAGTGAGGCGGGCTGGGGTTCATTCCTCTCACTGTGGGGTTGGGGCTGCTTTCTTAGAGGTGTGACTTAGGGCTCCTTCACCATGTAGTTGTTTTTTTTTTTTTTTTTAAGATTTTATTTATTTGACAGAGAGAGATCACAAGTAGGCAGAGAGGCAGGCAGAGAGAGGGGGGAAGCAGTCTCCCTGCTGCTCAGAGAACCCGATGCGGGGCTCGTTCCCAAAACTCCAGATCATGACCTGAGCTGAAGGCAGAGGCTTAACCTACTGAACCACCCAGGCACTCCACACAATGTAGTTTTTTAACATGTGCTGGGGACTGGAGGACTGGGCGGGGGCAGGAAGCACAGTGTTGCTGGGCTGTCACAGAGTATCCCACTTCAAGAACCCCCCTCTCCGAGTCTCCCTCCCTTCTCCCTCTCCCTCTCCCCTGGGATTCCGTGACTTTTATTCTCCTGCATTTATAAAACCCTTACCAAGTCTATTTGCGTTCCTGAACACAGAACAGCAATAACCAAATCTTTGGAAGGAACTCCAATGCCCTCCGACATGTTAATAAGGTTAATAAGTTGCAACATAGCCAGCTCTGCGGGACAGTTAGGTGGCAGTGAAAAGGAATGATCCATGAGCCCCTTGCATAAATCTCCCAAATAACAATCAAGGCCCCTTGTGGCTGTGGCAGCAGGTGCCCACGGCGGGGGCCTGAGCAGGGGGCTGGGACAGGGACACAGGCTCTGGGTGTGGAGCGCGGGGCTGCAAGTACCACCTTTGCCTCTGAGCAAGCCCGAGCCTCAGTTTCCCCCTCTGCGGGGCAGAGACGACTATGGACCTGCCTCATACGGTCCTCATGTGGAGCGGATGGGCTCACTCACGGAAAGCATATGACATGGCGTGTGACTGGGTGAGAGGCACCACCTGTCTTGCCAATGTCTTGGGGACACAAAGAGCATGAAGGCCTCAGGGAGGGTCTGGGAGCAGGGCTGGGGCCACGGCCAGCTCTTCCCTCGGCCCTTGGTGGCCTCATCCTGCTTCTCACTCGATGTGCCACAGCTGTTCACTGCTCGTGAGCCCCATCTAGCTGAGGGGGGGGGGGGGGGGGGCCCGGGGGCAGGGCGCCCTTTGCACAGAGATGGTGCTGAGATGATGTTGACCTTGTGGTGCGTGGGAGGAAAAGTCTCCAGGAAGAGGGCCCCGGGCCAGGGATCCGGTAGAGTTTTAGACAAGTGGGCAGCTGGGCTGGCCATGGAAGGGGAGAGAGGTGAGTTGGAGAAGTGAGGAGAGGAAGAGTTTTCAGGTGAGTAAAGGCATAAGAGGGCCCTGTGTGGCTGGAAAGGAGAACACGGAGGGCTTCAGGCCGGGGGCCGAGGTGACAGGGGGGTCCTAACGTGACGGCTTGGCTGGAAAGCCGGGCCCCGATCTTCACACGTGTGGTCAGACAAGAAGCAACAGGTCTGGCCTGGGAGACAGGACCAAGTTCAAGAGCCCATCCAGAGGCCCAGAGACCAGGATCTCTGTACCCACGCCCCTCCGCACCCAGCCTGGGCCGCCACGCCGACCCTGGCCCTTCCCGCTCCCTTGCTCCCCCGCAGGTGCTGGGTGCAGAGCCGCTGGGTGCACAGTATCTTGGTCATGGGCTACGGTGGCCTCACGTCTCTTTTCAACCTGGTGGTGCTGGTCTGGGCGCTGCGGGTGCTGCAGTGGCTACGTGCCCGGGACAGGGTGCTGAACCTGCGGGCCTGCCGGGACAGCGTCACCGTGCTGGGCCTCACCGTGCTGCTGGGCTCCACCTGGGCCTTGGCTTTCTTCTCCTTTGACGTCTTCCTGCTGCCCCAGCTTTTCCTCTTCACCACGTTCAACTCGCTGTACGGTAGGGCCTGCGGGGGGCCTGAGGAAGCCCCGGGGGTGGTGCTCGGCTGTTCAGATGTTGACTGCTCGAGGCTTCAGGTCAAGGGGGCAAGTCGGGCTGAAGTTGAGCTCCCCCTTCCCTGCCAAGCTGGTTCGGGGCTCCTTCTGTCCATAGAAAGGGGCATTTCCTCCTCATTTGCACAAAGGCACCCTCCGGCCGGCTGACAATTGGTCGGCCGGTGTCTGTGCTCTGCCCCTTCTGGTTTCCAACAGGGAGGGACGCTGAGATTTTCTCCTGGGCTTTAGGGAAGCCCAGGTCACCCCCACTGAGGAGGTCCCTGGATTCTGGGTGAGGCCCCGCGTCTCTCCTTCTAGCCTCCTGCTGACCCACTTTTCCCTTGCAGGTTTCTTCCTCTTCCTGTGGTTCTGCTCCCAGAGGCACCACTCAGAGGCAGAGATGGAGACAGAGATGGAGGGGTTCAGCTCCTCCCAGACGATGCTGTAGTCTGGGCCCCCTCGTCCAGAAGCCCTCGCCTCTCTGGCTGCCTGCAGCCCGAGGCTCTGGGCTCCCCCAGAGAAGGTGGCAGGCCAGCTGCTGGACACCAGGGGCCCCTGTGGCCTCCAGGGAGGCTTTTCTACCTCCGTGGCGTCCCCAGGCCCAGAGGGCAGTGCGCTGCTCTGCCTCCCCTGGCTTCCTGGGGATGGGAAGGCAGAGCCTCTTTCCTCACCTCCTGAGGCAGGTGGCCCGTGGCCAGGTGGCCCTCTGATAATTGGGTAGGTTTGAATTGCCCCTGGTAGGCGTGACCGTATGGAGTCTAAAACCAAGCTCAGGCTACAATTGTGGAGAATGAGCATTGCCCTTGATCTCTGTCCGAGCAAGAGGGAGAGGGCTCCTAAAGCCAGCTCCATTCCTGGCTTGCACACCAGGGGGAGCTGTTGGCCTGTGCACGGAAGCCATTGGCTCCCGGAATCCTATCTGGAAATAACTGCTGCCTGTCTGGGGACATGACACACCAGATGGAGGGGGTCCGGCTTCTGGGACTGCCCCTGCTGAGTGACCAAAGAAAGGATTCTCGCACTGTTTGCACACCCATTTCTCTTTTCCCAACGCAGCTGTTCGCTCTGGGTCTTGGGTTCTTGGGCATCCATGGCGCTAGAGCAGGTGGGCTGGGGGAGGCACTCAGAGCTCCGCTGCAGGCCATCAGACAGGTAATAACGACTTTGGATGGCATGGTGAGAGTCCTGGAGCCAGATTCCTTTTCTCCTGGGGGTGGGGGCGGGGATCCTCTGCTCTCTGTTTATTTCTGGATGCCCATAGCCCTTGGCCAGCTGGTGAGTGCTGTAGGCTCTGGAACCCGACTGCCTGGGTTCAAATGGCCTTACCATTTGCCAGCTATGTGACTGTGGACAGACCACTTAAGCTCTCTGTGCCTTAGTTTTCCCATCTGTAGAGTAGGGGCCGTTGTGGTGCTGATTTTGAAGATGAAAAAAAGAATCCATATTAAGAGGCTTAGCAAGTAGGAAGTGCTCAATAAATCATTATTATTGTTACCATTAGTATGTTTGCTATTATTAACAGAGTTGACTGAGAGGGCAAACTATCTAAACTCTAGGCCCAACAGGCCCAGCTCCTCACTGGGCACAACCTGCTTTCCCTCAGCTCTGTCACTTCCTCTTCCACTTTCCCTAGAGTGGCCTTTGCTCTGACTCCAGACAGTGTCCCCCCATCTTTATCAGGGTGATGTGGGTCCCCATCCAAGCCCCCCTGCCACGATTGAGCCCCGTCCTGAGTGGTACCGGGCCCCTTGGTCCTTGGGGTGGGCTCCCACACTAAGGAGGGGGCAGAGGGATCATGGGAAGTCTCAGGCCCTCTCTGGATAAGCTCCAGGAAGTGGTGACACAGCTGGGCCTTGCCTGTGACTTGGCCCACCCCACTGGTTTAGGCCCAGCCTCTTACACACTCTCAAGCCCAGGGTCACCCAAGGGAGGCTATGGCCACAGTAACAAGGGGATGGTTCTGGTGGTTCCAGGAGATAGGGCCAGGCTTGCAGCTCTGAGCACCATGAGGGGCCAGGCTCTGGGCAGGGGTCACTTCTCAGAAATGCCCCACTGGGTATAGGCGGGCAGGGGTGGAGGAGACCTGCTGGGTCTCCCTGCCCTCTCCTCACTCCCAGCAGGGTCTTGGCCTGCTCCAGACTGGCTACTGGGCGTTGGGTCCAGCTCTCAGGGGGCTTCCAGACCAGTGGGAAGATGGAATGGGTAGGAGGACAAATGGACAGCAGAGAGGTCATGTACTAGAAGTTTCTGTGTTGTTCAGTTGCTGCTATATCAGACGGCATAGTGTGTGTATGTGATGGGGTGGGGTTTGAAAGCTGGGCTGCCAGTTAAAATACAGAATGCTAAATTTGGGAGAAAGATACTAAAACATTAAAAAGTTATTCGTTGTGTATCTGAAATTCAAATTTAGCTGGGCATTCTATACTTGTCTATCTCCTCCCCCTTTAAAAAAAAGATTTTACTTATTTATTTTAGAGAGAGAGCGAGAGCTCGCACATGTATGAGCAGGGGTGGGGTGGAGAGGGGCAGAGGGAGGGGGGTAGAAGCAGACTCTCTGCTGAGCAGGGAGCTTGAGGGGGGCAGTGGGGAGGGGAGGCCTCAATCCCAGGACCCCAGGAGCATGACCTGAGCCCAAGGCAGACGCTTAACCTACTGAGCCACCTGGGCACCCCTTTTCTAACCCTTTCTTTTGTTGTCTGGCCACTCTTTATTTATTTTTTAAAGATTTTATTTATTTTAGAGGGAGCATGAGCTGGGGCAGGGCTGGGACAGAGAAGAAGGGAGAGGGACAAGCAGACTTCCTGCTAAGGGCGGAGCCCCATAAGGCTTGATGCGGGGCTCTATCCCGGAACCCTGAGATCACCACCCGAGCCGAAGTCAGACACTCAGCCAAACGAGCCAGCAAGATGCCTCAACAACACTATTGTCAAGGACCATCGGCATGGGCGTCTGGGGTGTGTACGCTTTACCCTTCAGATGAACCCCATGTGTGCTGACTGGGGACCCCCTCTGTCCACCAAACAAGCCCCCATATTCAGGATGACTCAGCGCCGGGCTCCTCCCCCGGGCTCCATTTTCCAGCCATCTATGAAGGGCTGACGGAATGTGAGCTGACTTCCCAGCAACCACAACAGAAGCTAAAAGGCTGGAAAGATCTCTGAAAACTAGTAAGGGCAAGTGAATGTCAACTCAGAATGGGGCCCAGCGTAAGTGCCTTTTAAAAACCAAAACAGAAAGAAAAGAAAAAAAAAAAACATTTATTTTTACATTCACAGATAACCAGAAGTGAGGGAGCCACCAAAGACACTTCCCAAGGATGTGCTTCGAGAAGGAAAAGAATTCCAGAAAGTCAGCCCGAGAGGCAGGAAGGGATGGGGAACCTAGAGAATGATAAATGTAGGTAATGCCTACATTTGAAAATCATCTGTATAAAAGAATAATGACTAATTTCTGATGTTGAGGAAAAACAGGTCTGAAATGTTGGACAGCAATAGTATATGTGTGTGGGAGACCAAGACTTACGTGTTCTAAACATTCCTCCCTTGCACTTGGGGAGTGGGTAAATATATTGTTGAACATTAGACATTGTTAATTAAATGTGAGTGGTCAAAGTTAAAGGATAACAACTAAAAAAAACCCCTGGAATATATACATTTCATTTCAATAGAGAGGAAAAGGTAGGACAGGAAAACAAACACATAAAAAGCTTTTTAAAAGGTTAAGGAAGGAGGGGTGCCTGGGTGGCTCAGTGGGTTAAGCCTCTGCCTTCAGCTCGGGTCATGATCTCAGGGTCCTGGGATCCAGCCCCACATCGGGCTCTCTGCTCAGCGGGGAGCCTGCTTCCTCCTCTCTCTCTGCCTGCCTCTCTGCCTACTTGTGATCTCTCTCTCTCTCTGTCAAATAAATAAATAAATAAAATATTTTAAAAAAAGGTTAAGGAAGGAGAAAAAAGAAATAGAACAGGACTAGGGGCCCTTGGCTGGCTCAGTTGATAGAGTATGTGACTCTTGATTTCAGGGTTGTGAGTTCAAGCCCCATGTTGGGGGTGGAGCCTACTTAAAAAACAAACAAAGAGGGGTTCCTTGATTGCACAGTCGATTAAGGGTCTGACTCTCGGTTTCCGCTCAGGTCATGATCTCAGGGGTTGGGAGATCGAGCCCCACGTTAGACTCCAAGCTCAGCAGAGAGACTTCTTGAAGATTTTCTCCCTCTGCCCCTCCCTGCACTTGTTCTCTCTCTCTCTCAAATAAATAAATAAATAAATAAATAAATAAATTTTAAACAAACACAGCAAAGGATAAGCAGCTCAGGAGAAAAATGGGCAAAAACCATTCATGAACCAGAATTTCATGAATGATAAAACCACTATGGTCACAAAACATGGCAAGATACTTACACTCTCTGGGGAGCGGAGACCTGGAAACGAGGACCACAGTGAGATGTTCCTTTCTCCCCCATATGATTGGCAAATGGCTGACGTTGGATGCTATTAAATGTTGTCGAGGAGATAAGCCAACATGAGTTCTCTGAACTGCTGGTAGGAGTGCGAATTGGCTCCGGTGGAGAGACAGTCTGTCCTTTATTTCTCTGTGGAGATAGACCCTGACACACCTGTGTTCTAGTCATCCTGCCCCCAGGATTCTAAGAGGAAGCGCTCTCGCAGGTGCACCTAGAGACCAGTGCGACCTGATCCCTCCCATCAACCCCCGAAGTAACACCTAGAACCACCCCCATTTTACAGGTGAGACTTCACTTTCTCACCTTCTCGGGATGGTTCTAGGTGCTACTTCCGGGCCTGACAGGAGGGATGGGGAGAAAAGGCTGCAGGTGTCCCGGCCTACCACCCGCATGATTAGCAATTCGCGTGGGCGGTTATTTGTCACGTGTCCACGGACGCCCTCAGCAGCTCTCTCGAGGCCGTCTCTAACAGGACTTGTCCAGTGATAGGCCCTCCAGAGTGTGAGTGAACACCTGGTCTGGCACCGAACGCACTGCAGGTTCTGCGGACTGTGTCTAAGAACATTTTGATGGGAGCCTCAGCCTAGGAGCCAGGAGGTCAGGGTCCAGGGTGAGAGTGAAAGTGGGCTCCCCAGGGGCTGGTCACTGCCAGTGTGGCCAAGACCCGCTCCTGGAGTGGTTATTCTTATGGTGACCACCAGGGGTCAGGGTTGGCCCGGTCTGCCTTTCTGCCTAGTTGCAGCACCCCAGGGTGGCCTGCAGAGGGCAGCCTTCCTGCCAGCAGCAAGGTGGGGGTGTTGCCAAAAAGAATGCGTTTGAAGCCCTGACTTCCTTGGCTTTCTATCTCTGTTAAAGAAGAGAATTGGTAAGTCTGTCCATCCATCTGTGGGTCTGTCTACCATTCTTTCACTCACCCATCCTTTGTCCCTTTGTCCACTCATCTGTCTGTTCATTCATCCATTTTTCCTTTATCTTCCATTTGTTCATCTACCCGTTTATCTGCCCCTTCATCCAGCCATCCACCTGACCATCCAGCCACCCACCTATCCTTCGTCCATTTATCTGTCTGTCCACCCGTCCATCCTAGTGTCTGCCCATCTGTCTATCCTGCTTTTATTCATCCATTTGCCCATCCATCCATCCATCCATCCAACCAACATCTGTCCATCTACCCTCTGTCTATCCCATGTGCACTGAGAGCCCCTGTTGAGCCAGGCCTTGCTCAGTCCTGGGGTACCCCATAAAGAGAGGAGGTGCAGTTCCTGCTCCCACCCCAAGCTCACTGTTTGGTGGGTCAGAAGTTACACCAGGCAGTGATAAAATAGCGAGATGTGTGTGGAGAGACTTGGGGGAGCAAGCAAAAATCTCACATTTCATTATTAATTTTTTCATCAAGTTAGACTCTAAGGCTCCATCCCCTGCATGGGAAGGACACTGGTTTGTCATTTGTGGAGGAAGCCCTTGAATTAAACAAAAATCTTGGAGGCTTATATTGTTCCCGAAGGAAAATAGGGGAAGACATCTGGTTCACCTTCAGCCCCTCATGGTGCTCTCTCCCTGCCTCTCCCCCAGCTTCCTGGCTCTGGGGAAGCTTTGCTGACCTGAGCCTGAGAAGCTGCCTCTCAGAGGCACCCCAGACCTTCCATGCAGCTGTCACCAGCGGTGGGAGCCTCTGGGTTCAGGTAAGTCTTAGCTTCGTTCCCTCATACCAGGGGTCTGAGCTGCAGGAACACTGGCCTCCCCAGAGCCCAGAGCCCAGAGCCTGGAACCGGTGGGCTTGGCTGCTTCCTTAGGCCAGGGTTGCTGGGGGCAGGGTGAGGGGTTTAACCCAGCCAGACAGGGAGGCTTTTTGTGAAAGGGGATTTCTAGCTGGGGCCTCAGTGTGAGACAGGGAAAAGGGGAGGGGGAGAAGTGTTTTGAGCAAAGGCTTAGGGCTGAGGGGTGAAAAGGAAAGAGAGAGAGAGAGAGAGAGAGAGAGAGGCAGGTAGGTTTGGCAGGTGGGGTGGTGGTGGGAGGGGCAGGAGGGAAACCAGAGGGAGGAG